GGAGGGAGAGGGGGTGTGCGCAGCTCCCGGGGCCCCGCCTGCTTCCTGGGGGTCCTGCTGGGGCAGACCCAGTAGCTCTCCCTTCCTCTGCACCCCACACGTCCCTAATGCCCCCCAGTTTGGGGAGACAGCCTTTGAGACAGCAGCCACCCCTTCTCGGGGTGCGGCTCCCGATGAAATCTAATTTCCTCCCATGACGCCCGTCTCCAGTGCTGGCTTCCGAGTGGTGAGCGGGCCCCGGCCGCCCTCTTCCCCGGCTTCCGGGGGTCAGCGCCCTCTGCGGGCAGCAGCCGTGTCCACCGAAGTCATTTCCAAAACCAGGGGGCGGCCTGCGGTCTGGCCCTGTTGACCCAGAAGACACACACTCACACGCACACACACACACACACACACAGAGACACAAACATGGCACCCACAGCCCTAGGCCTGCTGGCTCCCTGCGAGCCCCGTGCATGTGCAGGCCCAGGGCAGGTCTCCGGACAAGAGCACGCCCAGCACACGCCTCTGACACGCCCGGCCCTGAGCACTGAAGATGCTGGTCGAGAGGCAGCATGAAACAGTGCCTGAGGAAGCCCTGGCGAGCTGCCCTGCCCACCCCATGCTCGCTGCCACCCCCAGGGAGCCTCCCAGCCCCACCAGAGCCCCACATGCTGGGCCCCAGGGGTTCCCCGCCTGCTTGTCCGCCTAAGCCCGTGCTCCCCAGGAGGCAGACGGTCCCCCGTCCTTCCACAAAGACCGGCCTGGCTGGTGAGTGCCAGGCCCTTGCTGGGGACCCTCCTGGCAGGAGCTGCTGCGGGAACAGCCAGGCCGCGCTCCCGTGGCACCCAGACCCCGTCACGCAGGTCCTCAGCAGCCCCCGGAGACACTCACGACTCCCGTCTTTTAAATGCAGCAAGGCATTTTCTTGAGGTGGGGACTCTGGTTTTACCAAATAAGAAACCAAGTTCCAGAGAGATGGAGTCACGTCCCGCCGCGCCGCCGAGCAGGGGCCACGGTCCCGCCTCCGCACAGTAGCAAGCAGTGTCCCTGGGGCGCAGGAAGTCCCTGGGGGGCTTTCTTTTCTGTTGCTTGTCTCTTTTCGGCTTATTCACATTTTCTAGCTTCATAATGACCCGTATAATCTTTTTAAGATTTATTATTTATTTGTGCATACAAGAGCTGGGGTGCAGGCCAGAGGTGCAGGGGTGAGAGGACTCCCCAGAGACAGAGCTGGGAGCAGAACAGGTGGATCCACTGAGACACTCTGCTGAGGGGAGCAGCGGGGAGACGGGAGAGGTCTGCTGCGCCTGTGGGTCGCTCCCTGGCTGGGATCCAACTCATGCTGCAGTGGCTGCCAATAGCTTGATAGCCTGAGACTAACCCCTGCGCCCCCAGGAAGGCCCGACCCAGATAACCGTAAACATAATTCACAACAGAAAGCAACTGGCTGACAGTGTGATGAAGACAGATGCTACATCAGACAGAAAAAATGGTAGAGACAAGGCCTCCCTGGTGGCGCAGGCGGTTGAGCGCAGCGCTGTGGAGCTGTCCTCAGTCTCTGCAGTGCCAGTTCGATCCCTGCCAGCAGCGGAGATACCTACATGGCACGGCAGACCCCTCCTGTCTCCCCACTGCTCCCCTCAGCAGTGTCCTCCGTCTGTCTGCCTGTTCTGCTCCCCACTCTCTGGTGAATCCTCTCATCCCCCACACATCTGGCTTATACTCCGGTTCCTGTGTAAAAAAATAAATCTTAAAAAAAAAATGTAGAGACAATAAAAGCCACACGTGTCCACTCGCAGCCTCTCTCTGGGGGCCCTCGGGGCCCCCTCCCCATGCGGAGGCCCCCAGCCGGGTGCCGCTCACGGGGAAGCGGTGCCCGAAGGTGTCATGGCTTCAGAAAGAGACAGGGCGAGGGGCGGGCAGGAAGGCCTGTGCTGGTGCTGCCTCCTAGCAGGCCTCTGCCACGTGACCTCCCAGGGAACGGCAGTCGGACTCTGTGGGTGCCGGGCTCCCCACGGGCCCTTTGCCAGCCACACGTCTGCCCTCCCCTGCTCCGGCATCTGCAGGAATCTGGGTCAGGCAGTCACGGGGCTGGGGCCTCCCACACCGTGGCATGGCCTGGTGAAAGGCAGCAGTTCTGTGCGAGCAGTTCCGGACGAGCCCCTGTGACCCGCCAGACACGGGCCCTGCGCCTCCTGGTCCAGTCGGATTCCGACTCTGCCGTGTCCACTGTGGGCACACAGCCTTGCTCTCCCGCCAGCCTGCTTTGAGTCCCACTCGAAAGCCTCTTACTCGCCCCCTAACTGCACATCCCGGCCCGTGTCCTGAAGAGTCAGCCTCTGAGGGACCCCGCGCCGGCCGCTTCTGTGCCTGCTCCAGGTTCCCAGAGGAGTCCCCTCCGGCAGGCCCGGGGCTTCAGGCCAGAGCTGGGAGGACCCAGACTCCCGCTAACCTCTTTTTGCTCGGAATAAACCTGCCAAGAACCCAGTCTCGTCATTCAAGTCACCCCCGGAACTCCCCTCTGCCGGGCACGGCCCAGCGCATCCCCGACACAGGCGCAGCCGCAGGAGGGCACGGCGGGCAGGCCTCCACTCTGGGCCGTCCTGGTTCCACGCAGGCCGGCGTCTCAGGGCAGGTTTCAGGGGCCACCTTTTCAAAACCCAAAAGCCAGCACCCACCAAAACCAACGCCTGCTCCTCCACGCCCTTGGCCTCCCCTGGCGTCCAGGGTCCACGCTGGCCTTCCCTCCCTCATGCCGCGCACTGCCGAGACAGCGCAGCGCTGTCCCCCGTGCTGACCGTCGCGCTCTGCACCCCATTCCCTCGTGAACGGCAGAGACCCCCTTGGTGAAGGCGTCCCCCCTTACACAGCCCTCACTGTGGGCCCCTGGGCAGAGGCCGCGGTGACCCTGGTGGGCAGCTCTTCCGTCTCCGCGGCCCCTTCCCGCCAGCTCGCTGGTCCCCGCGCTTCTGCGCAGGCGTCTCAGTGCAGCAGCCCCCCTGGCTTTCTCCTGTGCCCCTCCCTGTATGGGGCAGGACGCCTGGCCGCTAGGGGCCACAGGGGTGCTGCCTTCAGGTCAAGTTCAAATCTTCACCCCTGCCGCGCTCCTCTCTGCGTGCAGCTGCGGGCAGGCAGCCGCACTTCCGGACACGAGGCCGGGGGTCCCCGTGCTGCCGGCCGGCCCCCTCTCCCCCTGCCCTCCCGGCCCGCTGTCATGACCGAGGCCGGAGAGACCCGCCTAGTCTGCTGATCTGTGCGCCTGTCTCTGGCCATCACCACGCTGCTGCTTGGGAACAGTTTAAAACCGAACAAAATAGGTCTCCAAACTCTCAGACTTGCTTTAGCGAGTCGTGGCCTTCTATGGCTTCATGTCAACTTCAGTATTTTTTCCCGTTTCCCTGGACTACGCCGCTGGACCACTCGCAGGGACTCTAGGAAGCTGCTGTTGGCCTGGTCAGGACGGTCGTTCAGCTCCGGATCCCCCGGCCCTGTCCCCGGGGCTGCAGCCTCCACTGCACAGACCTCCCTTCCTCTGCTACCCCTTCCTGAGTATTTGCTTCCAGTTTGGGTGTGGCTGGGGTTCACCAGAGACAGAGCAGGGAACAGAACAGGCAGACTGACGAAATCCACTGCTGAGGGGAGCAGCAGGCGAGACAGGAGAGGTCTGCGCGCCATGCGGGACCCTCGCCGGCTGGCCAGGATCGAACCGGTGCTATGGCCGGGGCTCTTGTGTCTCTGGACGCGCACGGGGCAGACCCGTCGCCTCCCGGGGTGAGGGCCGCCTCCGCGGCTCCAGAGCCCAGGCCAGGACCAGGCCAGCAGCCAGGACAGAGCTGCGAGGCCAAGCGGCCATGCCAAGCCGGGAGGGCTGGGCGCTGGGCAGAGGCAGGGAGCTCAAAGACCTGCCTCCTGAGGTCTGGACCGGCCAGGGTGCCCCCAGACAGAAAGCCCCTCATCTTCTCAGCCCACAGACCCCCTTCTTGGCTTTCACCCTCCCGCTGCTGGCAAGCTGGTGACCAGGAGCTGCAGGTGAAGAGCCCCGGAGGAGACCAAGCTGCGGCACCTCCAGCAGACCTTCCCCACCCCAGCGCCCTCAGCGCCCCCAGCCACCCCGCCATCAGCGTCCCAGCACCCACCCGTGGCGAAGCGGTACTCTCTGGGTGGGGGCGGGCTGTGGCTATGTCGGCCGGGCGCCCCGAGAGTCTGCTCTGAGGTCTCCTGCAGGCCCCGCCGACCCACCCAGGCGCTGGAGGCCCACAGCCATGCCCGAGCATGGCCCTGGCTGGCGCTGCCACGGGGGCCTTAGCGGGTAAAGGCCCAGCGTGGGGCAGAGCTCAGTGGAGGGACTTCCTCCTGCCCCGACTCTGCCTGTCCAAGAGCCATTGGTTGGCTCTGCTGAGGGGTACCAGGTGACCCATCCCTGGCACTGACTCTTCCTCATGGAGGCCAAGGAGTCCCCAGCCCAGCCCACAGCTAGAGCCGCTGCACAGGGCCCTGACTCCGGGCGCGGCGTGTCGGCTGCTTCCACAGACCAAGCACAGCTCCTTGGGCCCCCCATGGACCAATGTGCACTGGGTCTCTGCAGACGCCCTCCCGTGGCCTGTGTCCACCGTGACCTCGATGCCAGGAACAAGGTGCCCGTGGGTGTTGAGACGACGGCCTGGCTGTGTCCTGGACGCCACAAAGCCCGACACCCCCGCCCTGTGGCAGACTTGGCCAGGGCAAAGGGTGAGGGGATGGGGTGAGGGGTGTGCTCTCTGCGGGCACCACGCAGGGCCGGGGCGCCAGGGTGGGGGGCAAGGGGTGGCCCTCGGGCTGATAAGCAGCAGGAACCATGGACTGACTGGGACTTCCCCACGTTTCAAAACGTTTCTCCAAAACTCCATTATGACAATTCAACCTTAATGCCCATTTCTTATAAAGCGCACTTGCGCCCCCCCGGCCGGGACGCACACACCGGGGTTGCGTGTGCCGGCCAGACCGCGGGACCCGAGACCTGCCCACCCCACCACCGGACTCACCAGAGTCCTCGTCGATGCTGAAGCGGCCCAGGCCGCTGCCGTCGCGGATGGAGTAGCGCAGCTCCCCGTCCCGGCCCGGGTCCTCGTCGCGGGCGGCCACCCGCAGCACGCTGCTGCCCACACGCGCGTCCTCCCGCACCGAGCCCAGCACCACGAAGTCCGGGAAGCGGGGCGCGTGCAGGTTCTCGTTGACGTCCACCACCTCCACCGCCACAAAGGACACGGAGGACAGGGACACGGGCCGGCCCTTGTCCTTGGCGCGCACCGTCAGGTTGTAGAACTGCTGCTTCTCGTAGTCCAGCTCCCGGCGCAGCCGCACGGCCCCGCTGGCCCTGTCCACCTCGAACCTCCCGCCCTCGTCGTTGACCAGCGAGTAGCGCACCTGCCCCCCGGGGCCCAGGTCCGGGTCGTGGGTCTCTAGCCAGGCCACGACCGTGCCCACCGGGAGGTCCTCCGGGACCTTGGCGCGGTAGCCACGGGGTACGAAGGCCGGGGCACAGTCGTTGACGTCGTCCAGCAGCACGCGCAGCGTGGCCACCGAGGACAGCTGCTGCCCACCGTCTGCCCTGTCCCTGGCTTCTATCCTCAGTGAGTAGCTGGCTCTGGACTCCCGGTCCAGCTGGTCGGCCACGTACACGACGCCGGTGGAGCTGTTGATGGCAAACTGCCGGGCGTCGGTCAGCAGGGAGTAGGTCACCTCCCCGTTGGCGCCCTGGTCCGGGTCCCGGGCCTCCACCTGGATGAGCTGCGTGCCGACGCCCGCACTCTCCGGCACGCTGGCCGCGTAGCCGTCCTGCAGGAACACGGGGCTGTTGTCATTCACATCCTCTACGGTGACGGTCAGCAGCCGCCACGCAGCCCTCTGCGGTGTCCCCAGGTCGTAGGCGGTGATGTTGAGGAGGTAGAGGTCCGTGCGCTCACGGTCCAGTGGCATCAGCACCGTCAGCTGCCCGGTGTCCATGTCGATGCTGAAGCAGCTGTCCGTGTTGCCATCGGCGATGGTGAACAGCACCTTCCCATTGAAGCCGGCGTCTGGGTCGGAGGCCCGGACCCTCAGGACGGCGGCGCCCACAGGCAGGTCCTCCCTGACCGCCAAGTCCGAGGGGAGCGATCTGTCGAAGCGGGGGCCCTCCCTGTTGGCAGCGTAGAAGTCCAGGAACCCGTCCCCCTGATGCAGCCGCCCATGGGCCTTGGCCTTCATGAGCAGCTTCTCCGCCAGCCTCTGCGCCACGCGGGTCTCTCTGCAGCTGAAGCTCTTGGAAGGCGCCTTCCCCTGCAGGACCGAGATGTTCACAGACGTGGGGTCCGCAAAGTGCTCCCCGTCGGTCGCTGTGATCCTGAGCGCGAAGTGGGCGTTGTGGGCGCCAGCGTCCACCAGGGACTTCTTCAGCTGTAGGACCCCAGAGTCCGGGTTCAGGTAGAAAAAGCCCAGCTCATTGCCAGAGAGGATCTGGTACTTGACCAGCTCGAGCTCGTCCACGTCGATGGCAGACACGGCAGTGACGTGGCCCCCTACCGGGAAGTCCTGGGCAATGGCCCCCTGGCAGGCCACCCTCTCAAAGAGTGGCCGGTTGTCATTGGCATTGCGAACGCGCACCGTGACGTTGACCTCGCGTTCGTGCCGGTAGGGCGCGCCCCAGTCTGAGGCCCGCACCACGAAGCGGTAGGTTTCCGGGCAGGACTCAAAGTCCAGCTCCTCAGTGGTGCTGACCAGGCCCGTGAACTGGTTGATGGCGAAAGGCAGCGGGCCAAGGCTGGCGATGCTGTAGGTGATGTAGCCGTTCTCCCCCTGGTCGCGGTCAGACGCGGAGACGGCCAGCACGCCCGTGCCCACCGGCACGCTCTCGTTCACGGCCACCTCGTACCAGGGCTGCTGGAACTCGGGCGCGTGGTCGTTGGCGTCCTCGACAGTCACGGCCACGAGCGCCCGCAGGGCCCCGCCCCGGCTGGTCACCTCCAGCTGGTAGAGGTCCTTGTGGGCGGCGCTGAGCGGCTGCGCTGTGACGATGAGGCCAGACCGTGCGTTGATGCTGAAGCTCCGGGCGTCCTCCCCGGGGGACAGCCTGTACTCGGTGCCTAGCGGCTCAGGGCGCAGTTTGACCACGGCCACCGCCACGCCCGGTGGGGCGAACTCACTGACGCGCACCTCGTACCGCTCCTTCTCGAAGCGAACGGGGGCCACGTTCCTGTGGGGGTTGGGCACGCGCAGCAGCGTGGCTGCCGACAGCCGTGGCGGCGAGCCCCGGTCCCTGGCCTGCAGGGTGAGGTTGCAGCCCAGGGGGAAGCTGGCCCAGTCCACCGGCCGCCGCTGCTTGACCCGGTACTCATGTGTCCACGTCTCGTCCCTGGCCAGGAAGAACTGGCCCAGCGGGTCCCCCGCCACTATGGACACGGACTCCACCTCCCCGTTGGCCCCCTCGTCGAGATCCTCTACGGTCACCAGCGCGTAGGTGGGCTCTGCATCCAGTGGGGAGGGGGCGAAGGCAGCCACGCGCAGCGTGGGGGCATGGGCGTTCACCCGCTCCACGTGCACGTGCAGCCTGGCGGTGCTGCTCACCCCGTTGTTGCCATAGAGCTTCATGCCCCGGTCCACGGCCAGCACCTCCAGGTCGTGCCGGGCCTGCTCGTCGTAGTTCAGCCGCCCACTCAGGGAGATGACGCCACTGGTGGGGTGCACAGAAAAGAGGTCGACCCTGTTTTTGAAATAGTAGTAGAACTCGCCGTTGGAGCCGATGTCTGCGTCCGTGGCAGTCACCTGGGCCACGCTGGCCCGCAGCGGCGTGCTCTCGGCTATGGTCACCGAGTACGTGGTGGGTGAAAACAGAGGCCTCAGGTCGTTCATGTCCAGCACCTGGACACTCACCTTGGTCCAGGCCTCCAGGTCCTCTCCTCTGACAGAGCCTTTGACCACCAGCAGGTAGTGGTCCTGCACTTCCCTGTTCAGGATCGCCGAGTTGCCGCCTTTCGTTCGGATCCTGAGGAAGCAGAAGTCTGCGATGAGCACCTCCTCTGCCTTGAAGAAGCCCTCCTCGTCCCCCGACACCACCCTGTACTTGACGTCCCAGGACCGGTCGGCCAGGGCGATGCCCATCCTGCCGGGGCTGCTGACATAGGTCCTGGCGGCCGAGTTCTCGTGCACAGTGGCATTATAAACGGGGTGCGTGAAGTGGAAGCCCAGGGGCCCGCTCCCCGGCAGCCCCTGGGATGCGGCGGCCAAGAGCTTGAGCAGCAGGACGATGAGGCAGGAGGGAGGAGGCCGGCGACCCGCAGGGAGTCCCATCGCTACGCCCATCTCGTCATGCCTGCGCCTGCCGGAGAAGCAGAGGGAGAGTTAACGGCTGCATTCTCGGCTCCCAAATAAGACACCACACGCAATGCAAACAGAGAAGAGCCCCGCCCTCCCCTCAGAGCCTGGTCTGGATGCTGAGCTCTGCGCCCCTGGGAGACAGTGCCTGGAGCGGGGCCGCTGAGGGAGCAGACAGCAGGCTCTGAGTGGGCGCTGACGCGCTCCCGGGGAAGCAGCCCACCCGGCCCTGCTGCCGCAGCCGTGGCTCCCGGGGCCCCCCAGCGACACCCGCACTGCGGCCGACGGAGCACACAGCCGGAGTAGGGGGCCTCGGGACGAACCTGCCAGTTGCCCACATCTCACGTGAGCGAGACGTGCTGTTCCCCTATCAGGCACCTCGCCAAGGTCAACGCGCTCTTCAGTGAAGAAACTGTAAAATGACTGAGTCTCAAGGGTACAGAGAACTTCTCTTTGAGACAACAGCAAAGTGGGATTCGGGGCGGGGCGCTCAGGGGACCGCAGGAGGGGAAAGGCCGAGCGGGAGCTCAGTGGTGAGTGGCCAGCAGGGAACAAGCTCACGCTGGATGCCTGGCCGAGGGCCAGGGCCGGGGGGCCGGGCCATGCACTGAGTGGCCAGCGGCGACTGCTCGTGCTGGGTGTGGACACTCCCACCCAAAGAGGGGAGACCCGGACCCCTACATCATACAGTGTTTACAAACGACGTTACCTCCAGGAAACAGCACATTTGTTAAATTCAGTTCCTCATCCACTTCAGCTTCATTGTACTGTGGATTTCGCCAAGCCAAAGTCCAGGAAGCTGGCGTCTCGCCCCTGCAGCATCAGCCGCGATCGAGGCACACAGCTGACTTCCGGCCACATCCAGCAGCGGCGGCTGCCCCAAGCCCAGCCCAGGTGCCCGCGGCTGGCGCCGGCACCGCCCTCCCCCGCGCCGGCTCAGGCCGCCACGGCCTTTGCTTTGTCCAGCGAATGGGCCAGCCAGCCTGCCCAGAGCGGACGAGTCACTGGGAGCAAAGAGGAGGCCTCCGCGGGAACAGGGCGAGCGGGCGCGTGTCCACTCCTGCGGGGACACTCAGGAGAGGCCGCCGCCCCCCGGGCCGGACTGACAGCGCCAGCAGCTCGCCCACCGCAGCGGACGTGGTGAGGTGCCGCGTGCTCTGCCTCCGGCGTCGCTCTGCCTCGGTTATCTGCACAGCCCCGCGCCTGCTACAGGGTTGGGGGTGTCTGCTCAGGCGCTTCACACACACACACACACACGGCACATGCATGCAGCACACACACAGTACATGCATGCAGCACACACACACACACGGCCCACGCACGGCACCCGCACGCGGCGCTCCCATCAGCTGCACTAACGAGACCTTCCTCCTGACTCCATTACCATAATTTGCAAACTAAAGTCAATGGAAACTCATTAAAATATTTGACATTATTCAATATTTGCTGTGTTTATCAGACAGCAGCGCCTTTCCTTCCCCAGTGCTAATGTTCTCACTAACACGTCTACACATTCTGGATGCGTAACGGCAACATTCAGATGACTCTACCCGAGCAGCCCCGCGGCGGCGAAGCGCTGTCTATGCACATTACCCTTCCTTCCTGGCAAACCCGGGCACCCCAGTCCCCCTTCTCCCCCCGCTGCCGCTGCCAACTGCACACCGTGTCCCAACAGCCGCCCAGGGGCAAGGAGCCGCCTCTGTGCTCCAGCGAGGCAGCCAGGCGGGCTCAAGGGCAGGCCTTGGGCGGCCTCCCGCGGGCAGCCCCGACACCGGCTTCCGAAGGTGGGCGGCGGGCAGCTCCCGGGCTCAGGCCACACCCGCAGCCTCAGTCCAGAAGGACACTGTCCTGTTGTTCAGGCCTTCGCTGCGCGTGACGCTTTGTGGCTCTCGCACGTGCAAGGACAGCGGCCAGAGGACCCGCAGGCCTGGACGTTCCAGAGGCACAGTGTGTCGTCCCGCCGTCCACGTGGGAGGCGCCGGGCACCAGTGGGCTCCGGGGGCCGCGGGAAGAGAGCCGCCCCCTCCGTGCTCCTCCCCACACCCCGGGCGGCCTGCGAGGCTCCTCCGCCGCGCAGGTGCAGCTTTCACGTGAACGCATGGGAACAAGTCTGTACTTTTTGCTTTTTCGGTGACAGCACAAAGTCACTTTAATGTCTGACTGTGGGGCGGGGCCCATTTCTGCGCCTGGGGATGGCGAGGTCCTGCCCTGCCAAGGGGACGCACCCCCCCCAGGCCAGCTCTGCTCGCTCTTCTCCTACCCGCCCCTCCCCCCAGCCAGCCACAGCCCCCGCGGCGACCTGCTCCCGCAGGCTGCACACGGCCCAGGGTGTGACAAAGGAGCTGGGCTCCGCGGCCGCCCTCTGGGACTGCCGGACAGACAAAGGGAGGCAGGAGCCCGGCAACGCCAGCGCAGCAGGAAGAATGTCGGGCCCTGCGCTAGGCTGGAGATAAACAGAGGCCTCTCCCCAGGCCCCTGCGCACCGGCCGCCGACGCTGGCCGAGCCTGCAGACGCTGCCGGCGGACCCAGATGCCACCGAGCACCCGGGCCCGAGGCTCACAAATGGGACTTTCGGGCAAATAAAGAGCACAGATGAGGTCTCAGAAAGCGCAGCCAAGGGCAGCTCCTCCCGCCCCCAGGTGGGACAGGGGCGCTTCCCGACGGCCTGTGGGGCCAGCATGTCCACCCGGCGGGTGCAGACGTGACCGGAGGAGCCACGGCTCCAGCGAGGGCCCCCGGCCCCCTGCGTCATGGTGGCCTGGGAGCGCGTCCAGCCAGGCTCTGCGGCCCTCACCGCGCATCCACGAGGGGCCTCCATGGGGCCATGCCAGCCAGCTGGACAAGGGGAGCCCGGGGTCCTGTCCTGGGTAGACGTGCATGGCCCTTGGCCACCAGGAAACGCCCAGGCCAGTCGTCCCACCAACCCAGCTCCCAGCGTGCAGCTCACGCCGACGCTCCGGTGGGGCCAGAGGAAGCGTGACGGGCTTTCCAAAGTGGGGGCCGTGCCTGGGGCACTTCCCCGCGCGGCCGCACTCAGGACCAGCCGACTCTCCCTCCGCGGGAAGGGGGGCCGAGAGGCGCCGCACGGGCCGGAGCCATGCTCCCCGCCAACTAAGCACGACCTGCTACCGGGCACGCGGACGCGACAAGAGTCCACCCCGTTATGGCCGCCCGCGCGGGAATGGCTGTGGAAAGACGCAGAAGCTCAGCCTGACAGCGTGACCCCGGCACCGCCCGGGTCAGGAGTCCGTGGGAGGACTCTGGAGAGGGCTAAGGCTGGGGCCAGCTCCATGCGGCCCACGCACGCACACGCACAGCACATGTGTGCACACACGGCACGCACAGCCCACACGGCAGACGCGTCACACAGCACACACATGCACACACGGTGCACACGCACAGCACGCACACACGCACAGCACACACAGCCCTCCTGAGAAGCGCCAGGGCCACACCAGAGGCCTTTGTGATGGTGATGCAGCGCAAACAACAAAATTTTATTTTCAAGCAAGAGAGTCCACCTGAGGTCAAGCAAAACCGCAGGCAAAACTGAAAGAACGTCCACGTAAGACACGCCACCCGCGTCTCCTCGGGTGAAACAACTCGGCTCACGGAGCAGTGCACACACATCCCCGCGCCCGCAGGTCTGGCGGAGGGCAGAGCGCTGCCTCCCTCTCTCCCGACTTCCCTCGCTCGGGAACCACGAATTCCAGGCCCCGAGAGCGGTGCGGCCACCGTTCCCCACGTGTCCAAAGGCCCCAGAGAGGCCGTCTGGTTAATTCCTCAGGCAGCAGCTGCCCAGTGCTCCACAGACCTCCCCGGACCGAGGTGGGGCTGATGGGCACAGGTGGCGGCCGGGGGGCCGATGAGCCCCCCGCAACACAAGGAGAGGGTGGGCGCAGAAGGTTGGGGCCACACACCGCTTCCTGCCCACTTCTCAGCTGGATTTGCAGCTGAGACGACAGATCGCGTCTTGCGGCGCGACTTGCCATGACCAAGCGCGGCAGTGGCTCACGCGGGACTCGAGGGGAGTCGGCGCCAGCCCCGCTTGCTCGCGTGAGTGTCTGGGGGCGGGATCGGCCACGGTACTGAGAGGCCGCGGTGACGGGAAAACAGACGAGCTGCTTTAAATCCAGGCGGCTAAGAAGCGTGTGTTTCATGCGCGTTTCTTCTACCACCTGCCCCCAGACGCGACTCGGCGCAGCCTTGCTCCCTCCAGCTAACCAGACGCTCGGCTGACAGGACCCCGCGGAGGGCCCGGGGCTTCCGAGCGGCCTCCCCCCGCGGCTGCTGTGCTCCGCGCCCGCTCCACACACCGGAGGCCCCAGGCCCCGCCCGCCGGCCTCCGCGACGCCCCTTCGCACACCATCGCCAGAGGCGCCCGAGGAGATCCTCTCTGCACGGCGTGCGACGAGGGGCTTGAAGGAAAGCATTTCACTGGAGAGCAATACATTATTAAAGATTTTATCATAAAGTTCATTTAATACAATTTTAATAATATTAATTATGTATGAAGACATACTGCAACCTTTCCCCATTTAATAAGTAATTTATGCTGTTTACTTTAAACTTACAAGAAAAATGACTTAAAACAAATTAAAATCTAAAATGGTGTCGTATCGGTTTTATCGGGGTGCAGCGGGTAGGAAGGCGCATTGGGGGGCAATGCCCACCGGATGTGTGACCCCGCAGCAAAAACGCCTGCATCAAACGCGCGGACGTTACTGGCTTTTAACGCTTCCAGGGTCTCAGGCTTTCATTCGCGACACACCTTGAGCAAAACCACAGCGCGCGGATGCGAGTGATTTCACTCTCTGCTGAGGGGGGGGGTTGGGGGGTGGAGCCGGGGCGAGGCCCAGGGTGGGGCAGGGGCGGGGGCTGGGACGGGGTGGGGAGCCCAGAGTGGGGGCCCAGGCAGGGCAGGGGGCAGAGGGGCTGGGGTGGGCCACGGGGGTGGGTGGGGCGGAGGCTGCTGTGAGCCGGCGAGAGCCGTGTCTGGGCAG